GAAAATAGATGTCTGTCCTCGGATTTTTTCACTAGACTAATGAAGACTAGTTCTCTTAACAATGATGGTGGCCGTCTGGTCTGGGTTGGTCTAGTGTTGTGCCTAACCTGTAAATACGAGATCTTCCGCGGATGTGGTGACTTCATAGGCGAAGAAGCTTTTCTCTTGGCCATCCCTGTGGGTTTCGATTTTGAGGAGCCTTGAACAAAAGTTGGACCGGTTCCCAGTTGCTCGCAGTTTTTGTTATCAAGCTTTACTACGACGTTTTTTAGTACGATGCGTTTGAGGGCTTAAACTTTATGCTGGTTTTCGTCGTTTTGGGTCTTTTTCTCTAATTGGTGTTCGTTCGTTTGTTGTTGGCTATCTAATAAAATAATGGGTGGTGTCCTTGGTTCTTCAACACTAGAGTTTGAAAATTTCGGCTGGACTGTGGTCAGGGGTGGAGACTGATCAGTGATGGGCTCCAGATTCACCGTTCGTAGTTCCTCTTTTTTATTATAGGTGGATTTGTGAGCTGAAGGGTGTTATGTTTGTACAGGGTCAACTCGAATATGTGGCTTATGATCTTGTAGGAGAGAGAAATCTTTAGAGTCATCATCGGTTATGATCTAGATTGACATCTTCAGAAGTGATTGTATGGTCTCAACTTTTTCCGACCTTTGGCTCTGACCAGGATCTGTTCAATGTCACTTTCGGTAAAAAATTGGGAATCTAAGACGCTTACTTTGTTCTTTTTTTAAAAAAATGAAATGAACGAGCCAGCAAAATTGAACTCCCACTCTTGGTTTGGTTCTACGACCGGTGGGAGTTTTTCGAGGTTCCCTTGTTTTGTTAATCGCTGTAGGTTTTTACCTGTTTTTAAGCACTCGATGCAATTGTCTCCATGAACTTGGATTTCACGATAGATTTTCGGCCGCCAGATGTAGCGTGTTGCCAGGCTCTTCATTGTAGTTCTCAAGCATGCCGAGATCTTCCGTCTAAATAAAAGCATTCCCGATTGACATTTAAACCCTTATTATACGGTTTACTGTAATTTTCCACCTGTAATACGTCCTGATTTCGATCTTTACCTTTAGCTTTAGTTTTATTTTTAAAAGAATATCTTGTGTTTTAAGTAGATTCATGAATTTCGAGTCAAAATTCTGGGCCAAAGGAATGGAAACATTTTATGCTTTATCGTTTTTGAACTTTTGTTTTAAATACCAGTTTGATCTTTAGAAATGCTCTTCGGGTAACTTGTACTGGGTACAAAAGGAAAATGCTTTACTTACAAGCGAACTTTTTTGATCAGAATGGGTCTGATTGATTGAATCTATTTGGAATGACTTTTTTCTTAGAATTTTCAAATTATTAGAAAAATCATTTGTCTGACAGGTCTTGAAAGTTTGCGAGTGAAAGTTTGCCAAACTTCTGCAGCCTTCTCAGTTCGATTCTCAGCTTCATTTTCTTGAATGTCAGTTTTTTGTTTGATTGATCAATCACGTTGCAGAATTTGGAATCATGTGGTAATCTTTGCTGAGACAACTTTTCTTTTATTTGAGAACGAGAAATTCTAAGTATCAAGTTTTCAAAGCCGGGAAGATGACTAGTATGGTTTGCTGATGCGATAACAAATTTTGCCTCTTCATATGTAACGGGTACATGATTGCACTATGGGTGTCTGAATAAGTAATCTACGAATACTTTTTCTTGGATTGGTAAAATCGTACGGTAGAATTTTATCTGCTCCCCCATGGTTCTTCTCGAGGCGCGCGCCCAAGCTTAATTGAGATGCGTTGCATTTTACTCGTACTTCAAGTTTGGTGTCGAAATTGTGATTTGTTACTGTCTTGCAAAATTCTTTCTTGTTTTTCTCGAACTCCGGGAGATGCTTGTCTGACCTGTTGAACTGTTTTTTTTTGCATTAGTTTTCTGAACGGTGGGGATAGGGATAATACTTTTGGAATCTTTTCATTAAATTGGTTAATCAAACCCATTACAGATCTTATATTTTTAAAGCATTTTGGTTCTTTTAGGTTCCTGATTGCATGGGATTTATGAGCCAAAGTAGTGGTTCTTTTTGCGTTGATCTTGAACCCCAACCAATCTATGTTATGGGTTAGAAATTGAAAAATTCCTCGTTTAATGACTACTCCTTCATCTAAGGGTGTTTAAACCATCTGAAAACAGTTTGCAATGATATATAGCGCTACCGACTGTAACGACTAAATTTTCATCTAAATAACCATGTGTGCTCGGCAATTCACGCCTCCTCTGGCTTTGTTGAAATTACATTGATTACTCGCTTTTCATGACAATGGTATCTGGAGTAAATGTCAATGGAGTAAATGTATAGGTATACGCTTGTATTTTATTTGTATCAGTTTTAGTGGTTCTTTGAAATAGGTATTTACAGGAAAAATTTTTGATCTATCTGTTCTTGATAAAAAGTCAGAAATTTAATAACTATGTACAAATAGAAATCACACAGTTGTGATGTGTCAGGGATTAGACTGGAATGGGTATCAGAATCGGATTTGATCTGATTTGCTTACTTTCCGACGTGATTTTCCTACGGAAGTGTCCGTGCGTAGAGTTGTACGAAATGAGCCTGCTTTTGGGATACCTTTATCCCCAGGTGTGGTAGGATATCTTTGCCGCGCAATTTTCTTTCCAGCTCTTCAGTGATTGATATTTAACGTCTCATCCTTTTGATTGTCTTCTTACCACAGTTTTTATTTATGGTGCTCCCGAATCCTTGATAGGCCTTTTTCGTAATTCTTCAAGTGGTTCAATTCTTGAGAATCTATTCTTCATCTTGAGTTTGTGGATTAAGTCTTTTTCCAAGCAGGATACCGGGTTGGCTGATTCAGTTTGAATTTCGGTAAAGTATGGAATAAAAATTCCCATTGAAATCATTAATATCTTCTTTAGCTCTTCTCCTTTGTGAGTAAATACTGTTCATATCCACCATTCAATCCTATCTTTTATAGCGTTCATTTTATTGTTGCAATCTGCTGTTAAAACTAGGAGTTGTATTGTGGGCTATACCGGTGGGCTTCTTGTTCGGTTAATTTCGAAATTTGCATAACGACAATGGTTTGTGGCGATTTCGGTCTCTAGCTGGGCAAGATATAAGGTGTCCCTTTTGAATGATTGACCGTAATTTTTACACTTATTACTTTCTACAGTACTTATTGTCAGTTCGCTATTTACGTAATGTAATTTTTTTGTACAGAGCTATTTACAGGGTATTTTATTTACTGTTGGTGCATCTTTGTGCTTTTTTCGTGGACTAGTAATTAGGTTATTACGTTCTCGGTGGCTAGAAATTTGATACAAATTTTTATCTGAATTTACACATTTCTCAAATTAATCATTATAATATCCCTAACTAGTTCCGTCTCTAGGTCACAAAATTTGCAATTTTTATCCAGCTTTGATAGGAAATCATGGAATTTTCTTAGTGACTCATGATCATTCTGTGTTTGACTATAGAAAATGTACCCTTCATAAGTTAGGTTCGTGATTAAACTGAATGTGGTTTTCATTAACTCCCAGAATTCAGCAAAGTTTTTGTCAAGGATTCTCGACTCAGGGTTTTTGAGTTCGAAGCAATTAGGGCATTCTTTTCCGAGTGCCAAGTATAATAGTGAATTTAGCTTCTTTTCGATGTCTCCATTTTTTCGTTGTTTTTTTTGTTGTCTTCGGCTTTCCTCCTTCGCAATTCTTCGTTGTGGGACTGTATCGCTTTTTCATCTTTTTCGTTTTCATCTTTTGTTTTTTTTCTATTCCGCCCGAAGGGCTGAGTTGTTCGTGTGGTTTCGATGTTTCTAAAAACGTGAAGGTTATTTCGGACCTAAATGTTGGATTTATCATGTCTTCATTATTCAAGGAACCTTTGGCGATGGTTGTTAGATGGTATTTTTCGGACCATTTTTCCCAGTCCTGGTGATTTTCGTTGCGTTTATCCGAAAGATCTCTAGATCTCGTTGTTAAAAACTGAAGTTACTCCAGGTAAGATTGTTAGTAAACACTGATAAAAGAATTTACCTAAACTAGGACTAGCTTAAGACTATGTACAGATACGCGTTCTCTACTTGTGATAATTGTACACTTTTAAACAAAGGCTAGATTAAAAGATAATAAGATGATAAAGATCTACGCTAGTTAAAAAGTTAGAACTCAGTTTAAGAAGTTGAATTTGGATGGGTTTTTAAAAAAGAACACTGAACATAAGTCAGATACCCAAAAACCGATGCGCTTTTGGCAGGTACTTCTTAATGCGAAACTAAGCATAAACAGCACTAGATGTTGAATGTGCAGATTTCCAATTGTGACAAACGAACCTAAGGCTGCCAATAAAGCTTAAAAGGTATTTTGCCAATAGCGTTTTAAATATGGGTAAGTGGGCTCTAATTTTAACCCTTTTTGAAAGCAAGGCCCGGCCAAGTGGAGCTCTATTTTCCTCTGGTGATGAAAAAATTGGAAAGTTAAGTAAGGGGGAGATTGTTAAGTAAATTAAGATTGTCAAAATTTGGACCAATCAGAATGCAGCAAAATTGAAATGCTCAATTCTTAATAAAAAGTTCCAATTTTTGTTTATTTTTTTAGTAACCAAACCAGGAGAAAAACTCAACAATCTTAAACTTTGAGGACCTTGGTTTATTTAATTTGTACCAGATTCAAATTCACGAGCGTAATTCTTTGAAAGCGAGGCGAGTGAACTAAGTTATTGTAAAATTGGGTTAATTGAGCCAATTTTCTAAAATTTGCGCTGATTCTACTCTTTACTCTAAAACATGGGCGAATTGGTTCTTGTAACAATAAGTTGAGATAAAATTGTTAATATTTTACCAACTAGTCATTTTTCAAAAAAAAAAAAAAATTGGATCAAATAAGCTCAAAGACTTTCGTACAAATTCGAAAATTAGGTTTGGCTTCATTCGTAGCGAAAGAATTGATAAGAGAGTTGGCTACTTTCGGCAGATACGAAGCTGATCCCAGATTCAAACAATCTCATGGCTACAAAGAATTTGCCCTTGTCCAACCAGGAAGGTAAAAATTTATCAACCACACAAAGTTACCAACGTTTCAATAATTTTTTTTCAAAATGTCTTCCAAAAAAACTCCAAGACACTCGGTTTGATATTCTCTGCAAATCAAAATACTTTGAATAAAACCTGAATATCAAAGCTTTTGGGTTATTTTATGCACAATTGAATAATTTTAGCAAAAATCCCCTGAAGAGTTTAAAAGAAGTTTTTGACAATTGAGAAACAAAACAAACTCTGAGGCTCCAGTTTTTAATGCAAAAAAAAACAAAAAAAAACTTGTGTCATTGTCGTAACTTAATACAGTTTGGGTTTAATTTTGCGCTCTACACGTAAAAAACTTTTTTGATATTCTTTAGTAAAATAAAAAGCTAATAAAAAACTTAGATTCCTTGCCATTTTCTTACCAGGATACTGAAATATTGTATCTTATTTTATTGCAGACTCGAAATCTTGTCTTAATCTGTTAAATTTGTTTGCCTTAAATATGGAAAAAACTATGCACTATCTTTTTTTTGATTTTGGCTCCCGAACGTTTTTTTAGAAATCGGGAGCCAAAATTTTTTTTGAAACTTAACATCTTAAACTCCGAAATCTACAACCTATTTTAATACATTGCGAAACCTATTCTTATCCTAATACATAGCCTAGTGACCGAATGTACTATTCCATATCTTAAAACATGAGGGTCACCAGGAACCCCCACCCAGCTCTTTCTCCCACTACTCGCTCAAATCAAAATAAATCTAATCAATCAAGCAACTAAAGACTTTTTTGCGGCTTTGCCGTCACAGTGACTAAAACAAATGAGAGAATCGCGAACACGATTTTCTCCAACGGACGGTATAATAAAGGAGCTCCATCTTCGCGACCGAAAGTCACAAACAAAATATTCTCGAAAAAGACAAACTCAAAAGTCGGACTCGAAAAAGCCCAGAAAAACAGTCCATACAACAACTCAAAAGTCGGACTCGAAGAAGCCCAGAAAAACAGTCCATACAACAACTCAAAAGTCGGACTCGAAGAAGCCCAGAAAAACAGTCCATACAACAACTCAAAAGTCGGACTCGAAGAAGCCCAGAAAAACAGTCCATACAACAACTCAAAAGTCGGACTCGAAGAAGCCCAGAAAAACAGTCCATACAACAACTCAAAAGTCGGACTCGAAGAAGCCCAGAAAAACAGTCCATACAACAACTCAAAAGTCGGACTCGAAGAAGCCCAGAAAAACAATCCATACAACAACTCAAAAGTCGGACTCGAAGAAGCCCAGAAAAACAGTCCATACGACCATTCCCCAAGACTCAGTAAGTCTGTAAATTCAATAAAACCATCATACCCCTCAAAAACTAGAAAAGGTCAATTTTCAAAAAATTCAAAAAAAAATATTTTTTCAGATTGGAAAAATCCAGAACCAAATAAAAAACATTCATATTCACCTACCACTAAAAATTTTCCAAATGGAGGGAAGAAGAGTTCCAAATAATTCATTAGGCTCTGTCAGAGACCAATTTTGAAAATCAAATTAAAAAAATGAAAGTTGAGACGAAGATCCGTTCATTAGACCTATTGTTATAACTTGGGCACCCTTTTGCCTCGAGAAACGCTATGATGAGGATTCTACATGAGACCCAACCAGGACAAGTTGGCATGAACTTCCTGGCAGAAAACATCTGACGGGCTCATTTTTATAGACAGAAACACCATCACGGAATAAACTGTTTTTAATGCACGGAAACAGGTAAGAACATCAAAACTCTTTTGCCAAACAACTTAGTCCAAATTTACCAGAATTTTCAGAACCGAACGAAGAAAATAGTTTTGACTTTGAATTCACTTTCGAAATACTGTGCAGCCGAAAAGATTACATCCTTCTTTTTATTGATAGTTTTTCAAAAATTCATTCGGCAAAAATTACGTCGAATACTTCTACTAAAACAGTTATCGACTTAATTGATCGTTTTTCAGAAGTTCTTTCTGCAAAATTACTTCAAATACTTCTTTTAAAACAGTTATTACATAGCTTTTAATGGAATAACCGAAAAATAAGTCTAAATCATGTGTCTTTTGTACCCTCGTCAGGGTTTTAAACTCATTTGTGATTTTAACAGCACTCAACTAATAGTTGTACAGACGCCGATCATAGTTCCAACAGATTGGTAGAATCACTTGTAAAAATTGCAATAACAAGTCTTGTAAACTCTTTCCACCTAACAACTTGTTTGCCTTAAATACGGAAAAAACTATGCACTATCTTAGTTCTTCGGAACTTCGAGCGCCGAACGTTTTCTTAGAAATCGGGAGCCAAAATTTTTTTTGAAACTTACCATCTGAAACTCCGAAATCTACAACCTATTTTAATACATTGCGAAACCTATTCTTATCCTAATACATAGCCTAGTGACCGAATGTACTATTCCATATCTTAAAACATGAGGGTCACCAGGAACCCCCACCCAGCTCTTTCTCCCACTACTCGCTCAAATCAAAATAAATCTAATCAATCAAGCAACTAAAGACTTTTTTGCGGCTTTGCCGTCACAGTGACTAAAACAAATGAGAGAATCGCGAACACGATTTTCTCCAACGGACGGTATAATAAAGGAGCTCCATCTTTGCGACCGAAAGTTGCAAACGAAATATTCTCGAAAAAGACAAACTCAAAAGTCGGACTCGAAGAAGCCCAGAAAAACAGTCCATACAACAACTCAAAATTCGGACTCGAAGAAGCCCAGAAAAACAGTCCATACAACAACTCAAAAGTCGGACTCGAAGAAGCCCAGAAAAACAGTCCATACAACAACTCAAAAGTCGGACTCGAAGAAGCCCAGAAAAACAATCCATACAACAACTCAAAAGTCGGACTCGAAGAAGCCCAGAAAAACAGTCCATACCACCATTCCCCAAGACTCAGTAAGTCTGTAAATTCAATAAAACCATCATACCCCTCAAAAACTAGAAAAGGTCATTTTTCAAAAAATTAAAAAAAAATATTTTTTCAGATTGGAAAAATCCAGAACCAAATAAAAAACATTCTTATTCACCTACCACTAAAAATTTTCCAAATGGAGGGAAGAAGAGTTCCAAATAATTCATTAGGCTCTGTCAGAGACCAATTTTGAAAATCACATTAAAAAAATGAAAGTTGAGACGAAGATCCGTTCATTAGACCTATTGTTATAACTTGGGCACCACTTTCGCCTCGAGAAATGCTATGATGAAGATTCTACATGATACCTAACAAGGACAAGTTGGCATGAACTTCCTGGCGGAAAACATCTCTAGACCTCATTTTTATAGACAGATACACCATCACGGAATAAACTGTTTTTGTTGCACGGAAACAGGTAAGAACATCAACACTCTTTTGCTAGACAACTTAGTCCAAATTTACCGGAATTTTAGAACCGAACGAAGAAAATAGTTTTGAATTTGCATTCACTTTCGAAATACTGTGCTGCACAAAAGATTACATCCTTCTTTATTGATAGTTTTTCAAAAATTCCTTCGGCAAAAATTACGTCGAATACTTCTTTTAAAACAGTTATTACATAGGTTTTAATGGAATAACCGAAAAATAAGTCTAGACCATGTGTCTTTTTCACCCTTGTCAGGGTTTTAAACTCATGTGATTTTAACAGCACTCAACTAATAGTTGTACAGACGCCGATCATAGTTCCAAAAGATTGGTAGAATCACTTGTAAAAATTGCAATAACAAGTCTTGTAAACTCTTTCCACCTAACAACTTCGGAAATTTCGCCAAACAATTCAATCATCAATCAAAACACATTGCTGAAGAAATACATTGTCTTTTGAAATACATTGCAGAAGAAATACATTGCGGAAGAAATACATTGTCTTTCGAAATACATTGCGGAAGAAATGCATTGCGGAAGAAATACATTGTCTTTCGAAATACATTGTGGAAGAAATACATTGCGGAAGAAATACATTGTCTTTCGAAATACATTGCGTAAGAAATACATTGCGTAAGAAATACACTGTCTTTCGAAATACATTGCGGAAGAAATACATTGCGGAAGAAATACATTGTCTTTCGAAATACATTGTGGAAGAAATGCATTGCGGAAGAAATACATTGTCTTTCGAAATACATTGCGTAAGAAATACACTGTCTTTCGAAATACATTGCGGAAGAAATGCATTGCGGAAGAAATACATTGTCTTTCGAAATACATTGTGGAAGAAATGCATTGCGGAAGAAATACATTGTCTTTCGAAATACATTGTGGAAGAAATACATTGCGGAAGAAATACATTGTGGAAGAAATACATTGCGGAAGAAATACATTGTCTTTCGAAATACATTGCGGAAGAAATACATTTGGAACCTGATCTAAACTATATTTTATGATTGGATAAATTAAATGTTTTACCAATGTAAAGTATTTAATATTAACCAATCATGATCCATCTAACTAACAACCCACTTATTTGTAAGTGCTGAAGTTACTTGTAATTTCAGCACCAGAGAGATTTGAATTTAACTTAGAAATTAGTTGGACTCTCCCGAGCACTTCAGCAGCCGCAATAAACCAGTATACCCTAGATCTATTGAGCCTAGCAGAGACTAGTTAAACAACCTGAGACTAGATAGTATAAGAGTAAGATTAGGATCGGTATTAGACTAAGAAGTTGCACGAATCTATCCGGCCGAAAATAAGATAGCGTGACGAGCAGACGGTGTACCCTATCCGAAATTACTCTATGAGTTACACTCCAGTCCTAACTCATCTGGTGCGACCATAAGTCTCGAACAAGACCTTATTAGATTAGAATTAACCAAAATTAGATTAGAAATTAGACAAAAACATTTACAAAATGTTATACGACAATAATTTAATTGAAATGTCTCTCCGACTCAATAGATCCGAGCCAATATTCCGAACCATAATAGAACTACCCGGAATTGGAAGAAGACATCGAACCAAAGACGACATACGACAAAGTAGAAACTTGCCGTATAGTTACATGATAGTTCGGCAAAAGCCAGAACAAACTTTTATATTTCGAATACTACTTGCAATGAATTTAGATTTCCATTTGCAAACATAAAACCTTGAAGTAAATCTTCAAAATCATTTCAGGCGCTAAACAAATTAATATTATACAATAACGATTGATAAAAAGATCTAAGATCGTTTTCCTAAAACTCTGCAGTATTATACAAAACATGTTTGAAAAATATTTATTGGAAAATAAAAATAAAAATTAGTAGCATGACAATAAATGGTTAGTAATCATAAATCATCCTGTTGTTCCAGCTTCATCACCTAAAACATAACAGCAATCACCAACTCACTAATATCATAAAATACTAAATCTTTCCTTTACACAAATTTAAAACCTCATTAAAACTTAAAGTCACTTAATTTTAAAACCAGATCATCAAGGCTTATCCTTGGATCTTAAATCATTTTCTACTTCATTACATTTTAAATTTGATCATCAAGGCTTATCCTTGGATCAAACAGAACAACTTTGTTCTCCCCCACCCACTTAATTAGTGTCTAACGACCTCAAACGTCGATTCACTACCCAACCCTTTCTAAAGACCCAAGACTAATAGAAATTTTTAAACAAAACTAATCATTCAAATTAGGATAAACAGTGAAGAACTTCGGTTATTCATCCTTCACTTGATCCCCCCTCTTACCAGACCCAGGATAAATCTTAGACTTAGTAAGTTTAAAATAGTATCTAACGAACTACTCGCGTTCTAATTATACCTGAACCTTGTGGATCGATTTACTATTCTCCAACCCTTGAACACAATCACTACCCCTAAGTAAGATTAAGTAAGTTAACACCTTAGCTTATACTAGTCACGAGAAAGTAAAAATCATTCTTCGGAATCGATATACTTTTCTCTCCAACCCTAAACAAATAGACCCAGGTTAAGCTAACCAAAAAATCGTAAGAACTAACAGTTTAGGAAAATAGAAATCATTTAACAACCTTTTGCACCCGTCATCCTAAACCTTATGTCATTTAAAAACCTAGGGAATAAACAAACAATCGTTTTACACAATTGTGAAATAGATAACAAAAAATACGACCTTGTAATCACACCTCATACACAAACAGTTGGATACATTCGAACAAAACGACAAACACTAAAGAGAAAAATAATCACTAAACAAAGACAAATAACACGAAAAAGATTTTCAAAAAATCGAAACGCATTTTCAGAATCAGAAACCAACAGTTTAGACGAACTCTACAAACTAAAAGAATCAATAGATAAAAATTACCCACAACACGATCAATTATATTTTTCTGACTCAGAAACAACTTCAAATTCATCACAAAGAGGAAAAAGAAGAATAAAAAAGCAGTATAAACACAAACCAGTACATCTATACAATTGGAATCAACCAATTCGACACATTAATAATTACATATTAACAGTCATCGAACGAAAAAATGAGTTCAACGCACACCCCAGGTGACGAAACTCCAGATGATGATGAAATCTTTCCTTTTATAGTAGATGCAGATACTGATAGAGGACAACACATATTTTGTCAAAATTTACTCGTAAATTTATTTGAACCCGGAATCAGTCCATGTAAAACAGAGTTCCCCGATGTAAAAATCAAAAGACAAATCATAGATCACTATCTAAAAGATATATGCAACATAACACAACAATATGGAATCTACTCTATAGAATTCACTTCCCCAAACCATAATAATAGAACATACACTATTCAAACAGACGACCTTGATTTAGAATTTTCAAAAGTTTTTTCAGAATATATAAAAAGCATACAATACCATAACTCACAAAGAGCAAACTCCATTTTCACTAATGAAGTTTTCGCAATAATATATAGTTATATTTCGATATTAGAAAACGAAATCCCATTAACAAATGTCTCACCGACAGAAACATCTAAACATTTAAGAGTACGACATGAAATCACACTACTCTCTAGTTATTTAAACATCATTAAAGAAAATTTCACGAAAGACGACGTTTCACAACATACCAAACACGATTTACAAAAAATTTTAGCATGGTTCATAATAGATTATTTTACACACAATATTGATTTAATTGCACAAGCAAGAAAAAATTTTAGACCCCAAAACTCGAACGATGATACAGCTATCACAGAACAATCAGATTATGTTTGGGACCCCGAATGGTCTCATCCCGTATTTATAAACTTTCCACAATCAATCTCAAGTCAAGCAATAGGTACAATATCTTACATAAGAGATTATGTAAGAGTAATACCATTAACAATTGATGCAACACCATTAAACTATAATACATTTTTACCTGATACACAAAATAATAGTTTAAACTCTACAGTCATACACAATGAAAACCTCAATGGAACTAGGAATCTTACTCAACAAGATATACAGACACCATCACACTTCATAAATGAAGAAATTGTACACACAACAACTACACAACAAAGTATTTCACCAATACGCCCAAATTTAACAACACCAAGAAATACAAATCCTTCACAAACACAGGTAACCTTACAATCAACCGTTAAACCTTCGGTTGCCCCTAAATATTCACATATGGATTACCAAACATACAAACCCATGACAATACCATCAAAAACACGCAAAACATTCACTAGAAACAACTTTGCAGACCATAATTATAATTATACACATCCATCAAAAACAAATTATCAACCACAAAGGAATTTTAATCAATATACAAAACCTCGAAACTGGGATAACCCAACGGCCCAATATAATTCCAAAAATTTTCAACCAAACCCTCCACAGGATCGCAGTGAAAATTACCCATTTTTTCAACAAAATAAAAATAAAAAACAAACATCTTATCAAATGGATTATTTATCCTCAGATGACGATTTCTTACAACCAGATATATTTGCACAAAATACTCAA